GTTCAAAAACCTTTCCTTCTTCGTATTGAGGCAACAGCCGTAATCAAGACGAAAACAAAAAGCGCAACAAAAAGTGGTAAGAAATTTATAAAGGCAAATCAGTGTGAACGGAGGGGTAATAATAATAAGATATTCCGGCAATAAAATCATTACCTGTAGGTATATATATATATGCATGTGTATGCATGTACTTGTGCATGAAAATAATAGAAGTTATATATTCATTTCCATTTCAATTATACGTCATTTATATGTAAGGATAGTAATGAAATACTTTTTATGGGAATAAAACATTAAGTTGTGTATACATGTGTCCCTTTCCCTATAGCACCAAATTACGAAGCAAACTAATGAAAAAAGAAACATATGCTTTTTTAATAAATAACGACACCAGATAATCAATTAATCTTTCCCTTTAATCATCCCCGCATGTAATATATCGTCAGAATTTCTGAAGAATGGATACAGGAATAAAATATGAATTGGTAAATAATAACTGAGTGTTAAATCAAAATATTATGTATTGGTTTTGCTTGAACACACATAACTCTAAAATTATACAGGCATCCAAAATTATTCCTTCATGCTAGCTTCTAGTTTACCGTAGGGAAAGGGAAGAGACTAATATTCACGAAATGGAATGTTTATGAACAATAACCTGTGTAAAAAATATATAAACTCTATCAAATACACAAATAGGAAATATAATGACTCATATATATACTCAACAGTAAGGATATGCATGGGACAGGAAGCCGTTCAAGGGGTAAAAATAGCATCTATCTTGTACCATGCACTCAAATTAACTATTGTTGAATCAATTGCTGACACAGACACCCCATTTTACATACGAATGGGTTGAGTTGTGTGAATTTTATGGGTTAATTACTACAAATGTTCCCAAAAGGTACTCACTAATTATCTCAGATATAATATTTTGTTCGTTTTTATTTTTTCAGACACGCTTTTCAGCTAATAAAAACAGATAAAACATTCGCACCCTCTTAATAATAGTGAGCTTTGTATAATTATTATTATCTTTGGAGTCACTTTCACCATGCGGACAGATTTGCAATAATATTTCACTATTAAATAATCACCTATCTCCGGCATTAGGACATCATTTGGGTCATGCCCTTAATAATTAGGCTCTTTGGGACGTACAGCAAAAAGGAAGATGTATCCCATCTGTCTTGCGTACGAACAAGATGGGCTTTCGTTTTATATGCATGTTAGCCCATTGAACTTTATCCACAACCCTTCAGACGGACCCAGTCAAATCAAGTCCCGTTTGAATGTCGTATAAAATATCTACAACACATCTATGAGACGCACTGCTTCTCGCATGCTTATATGCAGGATTAGAAGTATATATATGCATATGCCCCTCTTTGGGGGAGGAATAAAGATGGCGTATTGGATCGATCCTTAAGATCACTCTAGATCTCCCAAATTAAAAAACTCTAATTGGACGTATCTATTTGTGGGGCGTTGAGAACTGGGGTCCCACTGGATCTTAGCAAGGCACCTAAATTAGGATACTGGCAATTTGCCGCAAGAACAGCAGCCTCCCTAGGCTTCTCACACCCGGCGACGTGGTAATGGACTATTAGTTTTCCAAGCTGAATACCATCTACGACAATTTCGCTTGGGTTGCACTTCAACGCGCAAGCAGTGTCCTCGATGAAGGCATTGTGAACGCGATGGACAAAATCCTGCGAGGGCATTTCATCCCCCATATACCTCACCTGTGGCACTGGGGTTGAATTCACATAACGAGTCTTGAGGACATCCACGTATGGCTGCACCGCATCTTCGTATAGCGCCCAAACGTGGTTGTAAGAATACTCGTTCATCCTGCCCTGAATTTCGTCCGCTGTCTGTGTCTCGGGATGGATAACACTAGCAGCACAATTCAATCTGCTTTCGATTGTGTCCATGGACAAGATATCGACGTCGTTCAGTGTGACACTTAGCGCTGCTGCGACATCAATGCGAAGGGCGTTAGAGATCTGCTCACGACGGCATTTCATCACCTCTGGCCATTGATCAGCCTCAAAATCGACCCGATGTATTGAAGCGGTGTAGTTCGTATGGCTGGAGGGAGGACACATGGCTTGGATAGAGTACACGTTAGGAAAGTCATTGCGGTCGAGCACGTCCTGTAGGAACTTCTCGCTTAACACTGGGGAGTGCACCACGTGTACGGAAAAATGAATCCCACCCTGCTCTCTTACCATATGCGTCTCCGTCACGTCTGTACGTGGCATCCCCAAAGCATTAGCCACGTCCTGTGCGAAGGCTTGGCGCAACACGGGCCACTTTGCGCCAGGGGTATTCCGCCAGAAGGGCCCAGTAAAAAGAACCGAAAGAGCTGACTTAACACGATCGTCAAGGTTGCATTGCTGCAACTCCTGGGCCTCATTGTAGATGGAACTCTTCAGTGTGCGATTGATCCTCCACGCCGTCAACGTCGCTGGGTGCCATAGTGTAAAGGAGAATGCCAGGCTGTTGTTCCGGCATTTCAGCTCCACTCCGAGGTTGTAAATACTCTGCCTCTCGAGATCTAACCTCCTGATCGTGCATAAAGCGAAGATGTTCATAAGGAGTTGAAAATTAGACTCTAACAGAACAATCCAATTTTTGCCCTTTAATTGGACTTCATGCCGAGTCTTTTCAAATTTCTCGTAGTCATGAAGGTTATACAACCGCCATAACTCGGAGAATTCTGCCCGTCCTACGAGCTTTTCAGCGGCACTTTGGGAAGTGTTGGTTAGACTCGCACAATAGCTCACCACCAGATTACCGGCAGCAAAGTGGAGTGAGGTGACATGGATTTGACTGCTAGGGACCTCAAGAATGTGGGAAGCTTGCTGTACAAAGAGATCCTGCAGCGTATTACACCTCCGGCACAGTAACAGGCCCCAGTTATTCCCTTTAAATGTTCGCTGTAAAGCTTTTGGAGAGGCCGTCAAACCCAAATCCAGACTCACTGGATTCCCAACGCGTGAATGTTCATAAAAAGACCACACCTCCGGATGTGAATACGCCGCAGTACGTTCCTGTATAACGGCGTCACTTAAAGTGCTGCGCACCGTGTATTCCACCACCAAGCTCCCCACGGTGAGACTCACCACCGTAACACAGGCGCGTGGTATCTTCAGGCAGCGACTGATGCCCGTGCAAAAAGCCCCTGCTAATGAGACCCTGCTGGAGGATACAATCGGACCCCATTGATCCCCCTCAAAGACCTTCACAAGCACCCTGGATTCCACCCCTCCTTCAGGGACCTCTTCATAGAGCTTCCAGACCCCCGCGTAGTCGTGTTGGATCATCCTCTCCTTCAGCTCGGCTGAGCTGACCCCTGCACTATGCCGCAATCGAAACCGAAGATGCAACAGATTGGGGTGCAGGCTAAGCTCGTCGACATCCACATCAGCCACGTGGAGACAGACGGCTCGGGCGGTATCCTGTTTAAATGCATCCACAATCTCGTCGTGTCTCAGCCAGTCGATTAATTCCCAGTTTGAAGCCTCAAAACCGACACTGTACGGCGACACGATATAAGTTGGCATCAGAGCATTGCCCTCGCTCACTGATGCCTCTGTCATAGTGGGCTCATCATACAGAGACCAAACCTTGCGGTAGGGGTAGGTATCCAACCGGATGCGAACATCCGGTTCGCTAATGCCAGCCACAGCAGCCTTTGGGAGTCGGAACCGAGCGATCATCTGCTGGCCCTTATCAATGGTAAAGTCTGTCTCGCAGATGGCATTCTTCGCGACACTACCAAGAGCGCGGGAGACCTCCTCGCAGAAGGCACCCTTGAGAAGAGAATATCGATTCCTGATGACGTAGTCCCATCCCTTGCCTTGAAAAGTAACAGTGAAATCGACGAACAGTGTATTTTGACCATTTGACGGTGATTCGTCCAGCCAGATATTCCAATTTTCACCCTCAAAGCAACGTACTAGCCCGTCAGGATTGTGCCCATCGCACACGGCAGAGCTGAAGCCATTCTGCGTAACGCCAACGGCTACGCCATTTCTCGGTCCAAAACTTCTATCTATAGCCGTTGCAAGGCCTTCCCTATTCGTATTGTCCTCAAGATACGGCTGAAGCTTAACGGAGGGACCATTGCGGTATTGCTTCTCCGATTCTATTAACGAATCCCGCACTAGATCACGCCGGATGCCATTTCCTTGCAAATTGCTTGCAGAGCGCACATATTGTGTCCCCCCTCTGACGTAAGCCGCTTGCCCAACGCCCATCCCGTTGAGGAAAACGGCACTTTGGGATTCATCCATCGGTGGTTTTGGTGATGACAATGTTTGCAAGTGCTCAGTACTGAAAGGGCCAGGGGGTAGTGCTGGAGGCAACTGCTCCGTGGGATTTGGAAAGGCCATCATGTACAGCCTCCAGACGCGCTCATATCCCCACAAAGAAAGTGCATGCTTAATGTCATCTTCTGTTTGCGATGACGTGTGGTGTGCTGTTAACTGCGCATTCAGTATGGAGTTTGTTGCGTTCATCTGCACATCTTTTATGTTCTCCATGGGGAGACCCAAGGCCTCCGAGGCGTCTAGGTGAACTGCCTCATGCAGCCTCAGACCTTGATCTTCTAAAACTTCACCCCAATGTTCACCCTCGAAACTCAATGTATGGGTGGTGGCCACTGGTTGCTCTCTTAATCCGGATACCCGCTCTCGGTACATTTCCCATATCGGATCATACCGGCACTCCATAAGCCTCCGATCAATCTCCTCTCGAGTTAGCGAACGTAGGTGATTCAAATCGAACTCCACAATAAGGCTGCCAATGGAAAACTCTACATTCCGCACATAGTGTGTCTTCAAGTGGAAAAGTTCAGCAGTGCAGGCGGCAAACACTGCCTCGAACTGCGGTTCACGACCCTCCAGAGCACTCCCCCAGTGCTCGCCTTCAAATACCACCCGGTGATGTGTTACGCCCCACGAAGCTTCATAGAGAGCCCATATCTCGGGGTAGTGATAGGTCCCCGACTTCTTCTCAACCTCAAGCTGTGTATGGGGCACGCCTTGAAGGCCGTAAACTATAGTAAGACCATCGGGAGTCACCTCAACGGATCGAATGAGAATGTTCTCCGGTTGAGCACTTAAGCAATCAGCCTGATCCATCTTAAACGCGGCCTCGACACTGGGCCGATGGTCCCTCAAGATCTCTCCCCACGCGTACCCCTCGAATAATTGAGTAAGGTTACCGTACTCCTTCGGTGCGGCAGTGATCTTGTGCACGTCGGCCACTTGCGAAATACTCTTCTTTCGGTTGTTGTACAATGTCCAGACATTGGGAAAGGGATAATCGTGGAGTACGTAGTCGACATCATGGGCGAAATCGCCTTCCGATCTTACTTTGTAGTGAATCACTGCGCAATACCTGTCAGTCGTGATATTCTTAACAGATACATCCTCAGGTGAAGATCCCATGGCTACGCAAATGTCTCGGACAAAGGCCTCCTGAAGCTCTTTTTTCTTATTCAAGAGCATGAAAGTCCAATCTTCGCCGTTGAAAACTTGCTTAAAGTGACCAACAGGGGTCTTCTGATTATATACGATCTGGTTATATAACGACCACACTTCCGGGTACTCAAATGCATCAACCTTAGACCACACAGTCCTAGGAGAAGTGACGCTCGAAGGGACGCTAAACCGCGTCTCTAATCGAGCCGGTGTGTGAGTAAATTCATGGATCTTAATTTCTCGCGCAAGTATACCAAGCGCCTCCGCAGTATCGGTGCAGAAAGCCTCAATAAGAGGCTGGCGTGCAGTGTTCAAAGCAGCACTCCAGTAATTGCCTTCAAAAGTCTTCATATATATAACTTCACTATCATTGTGAGACATGAGAGGGTAAAGTGGTCTATCGTCTGAGAACTGGCGATGCACGGCATCCTCTGCAATGATCTTGTCGTTATTTAATGTCAAAGACTCCTCAGGTTCTTCCAAAGAATTGGTCAGGTCTTTCTTGCTTTGTTTCTCCATCTGAATGGAAGCATCCTGTGAATAAAGCGTTGGGTTGGTGCGCTTGCTCTCATTTAATCTCAGGGGCGTCTCATGAGGTGGCAAAACAACAGGCACCCCTCCTCTTAGGCCTGTATGTCGACGGTATAGTGCCCAGGTGTGGGGAAATGCATACGCCTCGCACACACGATCCACTTCCGCGACGTCGATAATATGATCTGAAACGGTGTAACGCACTGTGAGGAACTCTTTCTCATTGGCGTGGATGTCAACAATTTTGACTTTGACTTGCTCGACTGCAACAGCCTCACTGATATCCCTGATGAGGCTGCTCATGAGAGGAGTGGGATACTTGTGAAGCAACTCGCCCCAGAGCTTACCAGCTAACTTCACCTGATGCCTCGGGAGGTCGTCCTCGGTCCTACCAGCGCTCGATGTCCCTGGAGTGACGTTCGTAGTCTCATCCTCATCCTCATAAATCTTCATCACCGTCGGGAAGTTAAAGGCGCTCAAGCGCTGTTGGATCTCACTACGCTTGCGGGATTCGTCGTGCGTGATGTCAAGGTCCGCGACAAGGCTCCCAAGCCGGAGGTCAACGACAGTGATACACTCAGCCGGGATCCCCAGACAGCTCGCGGTGTCCTCGCGGAAGGCCTGCTCAATCTCGCTACGCCGACGGGCGAGCACATTCTTCCATCGGTTGCCCTTAACCCGGCAGTTAAAGCGATCCGTGACATCCGAGCGGGAGGGTGGGGGCAAGGTCGATTTCGGCTTCGGCTCGAGCAGTGGGTTGTTGTCCAGCATTGTGGAGCTGGGCAAGCCCTTCGTGAGGGCATTCTCCAGCGCGCGGATCTGAGATTCCTGAAGGAGGCAGCCCCTGTCGGACTCCCCATTCAGGGGGGTGGTACCAAAATCGATGAGGAGATTCCCCCACATGATAAAGGTCACACGGTCCGTCGGCTCCCACCGATAGAAGGCAGGCCGCAGGTACGCGCGCCTCGCCCTCCCGGCAAAACTGTTTTCGTAGCTGTCGTTGGCAATTTCATCGCTCGAGTGGCGACGGGTGCTTGCGTCATCAGGGTTGGATGCTGTGGCCTGCGCGCAACAAAACCGCAGCTGGCGATCTAGTTCCTCCTCGATCGCCTGGAACTCAGCAATGCGAGCCTCCTCCTGGCTGAGCTCATTCAGCAGGGCCAGATATTCCTCCTGTCGGTCCTGATTGGCCTTCTCGATGCTGATCTTTTGAGATATTGCCTCTCGGAAATCCAACTGCGCCAATATCCAGTAGTAGATGGGGCTCAGCGCAACGCTGCCTTGCAAGACACCCTCGTAACTGAAATCCTTTCTGCCTATGCACTCCTGCAGAATATAATTGGAGCGATTCGGCGAGAGCTGCCGCTCAGGATCGTAGTTAAGAATGCGGTGCCTGAAACTAGAGTCCTGTAGAACACGCCTCATCTGGGGCCATGTTTGGGCCTCATCCTCTGACAGTAGGAGCATCACAGCACGAACTACCAGAAGCACCGCCTTGGGAGGATTCCTGTATGATTTCAACTCGTTCCAGCTGAAATCCCGAATTTTTTCAACGTCTTTGCGAGTGGCACGCACCGCGACCTTAGACTTCAACACAAGCTTATCCACCACCTCAAATCGGCTCATCAGCTCCGTACGGCACCCGCGCAGTTGTTTTATAAGAGTATCCGTCGTCTTGATGTGCTTTTGAGTCTCGCGTCTCGCGTCTTTGAGACGCTCCATGAGCTCCTGAGCCTCAGCAGTATTGGGAATGTCGTTCTCATCCAAAACCTCCCTTTGCTTTCTCCATAAGCGTACCTCAACGTCGGTATTCAGCAAGAACGATTCGACGCTGCCGAGAGTCCAATGAAGGACATCCCCCTCTTTGTATGGCGTCCGAATCGCAACGACATTCCCGACGTCAAGATCAGTTAAGTAACTTGATTTTCTAGAACTGGTCATCGTCAACTCCACTATTTCTCATTCACAAATATTGAACTGATCCACACAGAACGCTTTGATAGATCTTTCTCTACTTTTTTCTAATACCAATTTCCGTAAGAATGTATAGAAATTGCTAAAATACAACAGGCTTTGATTGAGTATTTAAGCTACAGACCTTATTCTAAATGAGACTAAATGTTATAAGCTAGTCTTACACAAACTCATGTATTTTTGATTTTTAAAGTGCTATAAGCAGAATAAATGCTGATCAAATGTATGATTAACTCGCGATATATAAAAATTATTGGAAAAAGGAACAAGCAAAAAAAAGACAAAGAAACTTCATTAATTCATCAAGATTATGTAATGCAGTCAACCTATGCAAGTGTGAGAGGTTAAGCTACTAATTTGAATAGCGATACCACAAAGAGACGGCCACAAAAACTGGGCTCGACAGGGGATACTTTCCCTCACTACGTGTGACTTCGTTTTAGTACGCAGCGATATTTAACGTTGAATTGTCCTCAATTTAAAAAAAAATGGCAACATGAGCCAAACATATATTAAGGAATCGCCTTTTATGACTGCTTGTTGAAGATTTACATGAGGCTAAACCGAAAAAAAGTGTAAAGAGTACACCGATTTCCTACAACACAGACTATCATATTCTAATTATGAGTTAGTAAATCTCGCTCTTGCCGCATGCAGATCTCTCGAAAATTGAACTGAACGGGCAAAAAGAAAAAATATGTTTAAAAAATATATACCCAGAAGTTTTTGTGTAGTATTCGTGTGTAAGAACCATTACCCGGTTTGCTTGAACACCCTAAAAGTGACTCCCTATGCATCTTATTAGAGCAAGGAACGTCCCAACTTCACAATAGATGAAATCTCAAGGGAAAACAACAACATAAATGATAGATTATGTTATCATTGACTCGCCTTTTCTTTTAAGACTTCCAAAAGAGGGAATGAGCCTTTAAATAGAAAAAAAAAAGAACAGCCATTTTGGTTTATACGCGGAGAGGAAAGAGTCCTGAGTAATTGGTATGTGATAATGAAGGAAATAATTGCAAGTACTCCCATGAACGGCCCCCTCCCCTCTTCCCCTCCCACTGTTCCCTTCGGATACATAAGTATGGTCGCATTGCGTTACCCCACCAGAAAACAAGGGAAAAACTTTAAATAAGGAAATAATGATACGATTTACTACGTCAACCATAAGATAAGCGCATTTAATTCACCATTTCTCGCGCATTAAGAAAAGATGACGCTGCAACTTTGAATTCGTTAATTTCTTTTTTTGCCTCCTCCATTCTTAAATAGAATGAAACTCCCAGCCTTCTTACTTTAACAGCATATGATGGCATTTTTCCCGATAATTGAGACTTTGCTGTAAGCAATTCTAGTATGAATTAATTTCTTTTCAAAGAGTAGTGAATGAATCTAGTTTCTGTGCATTGTATGAACTACCAAGTATTGGGTCATGGCAACATCTAATACTAATCAAAAAAAAAAGATAAGGCTTAAGAAAAGTCCTCTCTACGTGCTGCATCCAACGAGGTAAGCAGAGAAAAAAAACAAAAAGTTATCGTTAATTCTTTGTTCCATGACCCAATAGAATACATCACACCACAACAGGTCGGAAAAATAAACACCTTCGCAACACCCTCGGAGGCGTCTCACCGCCGCACATACCCCCTTTGGTATCGCTACCCTGTCAACTCACGATCCTTGACTTCTGTCTGGCTACAACATTCTGCTTCAGGCTCTCGAGTATCTTAGTATCCAGCGTGAATATGATGATCGGCTTAAGTGACGACACGCACGGAGGTAACGGTGGGTTTTGGTCGGACGAAGGCTGTCGCGTAGACCTCTCAGGGGAGTCCCCACGCGCAATTCTTAACGCGGCATCGCCGCTGTCATAAATCAGTGTATCGTCCATGCGCACCAGGATGTTCTTTACCCACGCTGCCGCCCCATCCAGCACCAGTGGACGATTCAACCCCAAGACGGACAGACAGAACGGCGTATCCGAGACGTACGCGAGCTCGACGTAGAGCTGAAGCTGCGCCGATGCGGCATCGGTGCCGTGATGCAATACAGGCGCCGGCAACGTCGACACCAAACTCTCCGCGACCATGTGCATCGCGCAGGACCCCTCCCCACCCGCATCCTCGTCGAGCGAGGGAGCCGCCCCATCCTCTGGGGCGTCGCGCCTCAAAAATTCGAGCACGTGGGCCTCCTCGCCACCCGGGCTCAGCCCCGCCCCTGCCGTGTCCTCGCCCGGGGGAACCGCCCGGATCACCCGCCCGTCCTCGTTCACAAAGGCACAGGACGCAAAGGGTTGGAGGATCCACTCCTTCAAGTAGGCCTTCAGGGAGTCCACGGAGCCCGGAAAGAGGCTGCGGGCAGCCTCCCCGGCCTTGTTCGGGTTTGTCCCTGACGTGGTTGTGGGAAGGCCCACACTGGAGCCGACGGAGCGCGCGCAAACGGTCAAGCACACCTTCAAAACATAGCCGACAGGGAGTAAAGGGGTGATGTAGGGTTGATAATCCAGCAGCCAATCGGGCCAGTCCCGCAGTAGCATACGCGCGCGCCGCATGGCCATCGTCGCGCGGATGTTCATCGAAGCCGTCAAACTTCCCTCCCGCGAGCTGGTCGCCCCTGCCAAAGTAGGGACGCACTGCATCTTGGGGCCCTCCGCGTCTTTGAAGAACCCGACCCCGGTGGATGCCGCATCCCCGCCCGTTCCCGGGCCAACCCCGATGTAGAAGCGATCCATCTGCTCAACATTGGCGCTGCCGCCACCGCCGCCCCATTCGGCGCCCTCGATCTCACCCCCGTACGGATTCCCAAGCGACAGGTCGTAGGTCTGAAAGCGGGCACGGCGGAAATGCGCAGGGGCCTTCCGCAGGGCGACCCCTTCGCTAGGGGTGACCTCGAGCACGCGGGCCTGCTGAAGCACCCGACGGCTGCTCCCTGAGCTCGCCAGCGTCCAAAGGTGTTCGTAGATCAGTGGAGGCGGCGGATGCTCAGGACCCCTCTGCGGCGCCGACGGAAAGGGCAGCCCGAGGGAGAGGAAAAGGCGCACCTCCTTCGCCCCGCAGTAGGTGTGCTCCCCGACGGAGTAGTTCGCGACGTCCAAGAAGCCGAGTGTCTCGATCGCCGTATCAAACACCAAGACTAGCTCCATCCCAGGAAAGAAGGGCAACAGGCAGGCGGTATCGGGGCATTCGTCAAAAAGGTGGCCGACCTGGGTCTTAAAGGCCTCCTGCTCGGCGAGGGTCACATGGGAGCCGTCCGGGTACTGCACGAACACCCCTTTCAGGCCCGCGCAGATGCTGTTTCCATGCGCATCCCGCAACCGCAAACCACTGAGGCCGACGTATTGGGTGTCGCCCCACGTGGAAAGGAACATAAAGCACGCGCTGCTAACCTGCTTGGGGCATTGCGAGGGATATGCAGTGGTGTAGTGTGATGTGGCCTCGCTGCCGGATTGAGGAGGGTCCCCCCCATCACCGTCCGCGCGGAGCGCCTCAACCCAGGTATTATCTTTGCACGGCAAAAACGAGTTAAGCTGGTTTGGTGGCATGGACAGCTTCTTCGTTGTTTTGATCGATTCAACGGAGGGGTTAAACAGTGACGTGGTGCCGGGAGAAAAACTCGTACATCGGTCCACGCTTTGAAGTGAGGGTTGGTTGGTTGGATGAATTAGACCGGTGGTGGATGGTCGCACCTGCAACTGTTCGGCCTGAGCGGATGCGAGGATGCTGCCCGTGGGGGGGCAAGCTCCCAAACCTGACAGCTGGGAACTCATGGCGGCCGCGGGCGGTCTTCCACCAACGTAGTTCTGTGTTTGATCGCTGTTGCTGTAAAATACAAATGTGGTGCCCTTTGTAGCATGATTAGTGCTCGTATGGGGTCGCTCACCGTGTGCAGTGCCGGACTGCGAGGGCTCGCGTAGCACACGCTCTCCTCCCCTACTTCCCAGGGCACCACTCTCGTGCTCATCGCCATCTGCGCTATTCACTCTGCTATCAACTCCAGATTCAAAACGCAGAATACGTCGCAGGATGCATAGCTCCTGCGTGAAGAGGATGTTCTCACAATTCTTGATACCCCGCTGCAAGGGGTCAGTGGTCCACTCACCGCTGCTTTGCGCAATTTCTCCGTGGAAAACAAGAATATCATCCATGGTGATCTCGGCCATGCGGACACCCTTCGTGGTATGCACGCGGCCCTTGCCAGAATAGTTGTGGATACGAATCATGCTCAGGGTAATAGGTGTCGCAAACATAAAGCAGAGAAGGTGGTCCTGACCATGGGTATAAGGAATGGCGAACATGGCGTTCTCGTCGTGTGTGTTGTAGGGGCTGCGAATAATGTTGCAGAGCTGTCGGCGCGGGTTGTTACAGAACTCCTCCATCGCGTTTGTGCTGCGCATCGCGATAAATTCCTCTCCGGTGGATGAGTACTCTGCCAACATCTGCAAAAGGCCATCGCGTGTTGTGTACATGAGAGATACTACCTGTCTTGAGTCAATATCCATGGTCTGGCGGGAATGGTTCACAGACGACGAGGCCTCCTCCTGGGAGAGGACACTACCATTTGCGGAAGTCACCGAGCGCGGCTGCGCATAGGACGAAGGCAATGTGGCTGCTTCATCCGGGATGACAATCTGGCCGTGCTCATTAAAGAGCTCCACTCCACAGATCCCAATCTCGTAGTCATCCCCCCAGTTCGATAACAAATTCATGATCACATAGCGTCCCTTAGGCATATAATTCACCATAATCGACTTTGACCCGGCGTCACCCCCCTCCTCTTCCTCTTCCTCGTCATCAACGGCCGTGGCGGGGGTAGTCGGAGGGTCGTCCGGTGAATCCCACTGCGTTTCCCCGAGCCGAGCGCCCGGTTTTCGTTGTCGAGAAGGCTTCCGCGTCGACGTTGGATCCCGCCCGATCGTGGACGCTGACATGCCCCGTGAAGCCCCACGCGAGGCGCGCTGAGAAGACGCCTCCGTTCCGCACGGCAGCACCGTCGACCTCGGCTGCGATGCGGCCTCTCGTCCTCGAAGGCGGGAGGCGGAAAACCCTCGATAGACCCCCCTGCCTACGTGATCCGGCGTCGATGGCGTTTGATGAACCGAGCCGTGGCGAGCCTCGACAAAAGACGGGGCTGGGGCATTCCCAAACGATCCATCCGCGCGCGATTTTCGCGCCCTCGAGCCCGTCTCCCGCGGCGCCCGCGCTCGCGCCCACGGCGCGATCTGGGGAAGTCCTGAGAAACGTGCGATCGCGGCGGAAGGAGGGGGCCCCTCCTCCGCCCCTTCTGGAGGCGCATCATCGGGAGCAGGGGGGTGACGTGAGGGGCCCATTCGCCGTAGACGCCCGACCAACTCCGCGCCATTCGCGGCGGTTTCGTAGGCCGCGGTGAGGTGGTCCTGTCGACGCCGTGGCGGCCGGTTTCGCGCCTTCGCGAGGACACTCAACGTGTGGGCGAAGACGGGATCCTCCACGAGGCGGCCGCCCTCGCGAGACTCCTTTCTTTCGGCTTGATTCCCCTTCAGCAAGAGGGAGGACGTGCGCGCCCCTGGGAGGGGCTTCTCCGACGCAACACCCGCCCGGGATTCGACGTTGGATGTGAGAGCGGAGGCATGGTCTGTGTGAAGCTCCTTTCGTTGGGAAGGACGGGGGTGAACATCCCCGGAGTATGGCCTGTACACGCAATAACACGGTGAAGAATTCATATTTCGTTTTGGTTTGATCGAAGAAGAAACGGCACCTCGGTTCCCTCGGATCAATTGGTCATTAGGCAATGAAGTAGGTTGCATTGGAGATAGGATATCGCTTTGATGGAAAAAGTAGAGCTTGGGTGCACGTTTTCGTCGTGTCGCTTGGCCATTCTCCCCAGTCTTCGAAGATGTGTCCTGTGTTGATGGATTGCCTCCTAGTACCCCTGGATGCGGTGTCGTGACATTTGCAACATGTCCTACAGAATCGTTTTGAGGATGCTTTGATCCTGTATGAGAAGTATCCAGTGCGCGGTACTCTGAGGGTGTTCGAAGAGGAATTTTCCTACCATTTGCACTATCGGTGTCTCCCTCTTGACCGCGTTCTCCTTTCTCCTCAGATAAAGCACGCTTCATTGGATTGGATTTCGCCTAATGTATACTAGCGTAACAAAAACAAACGTATATGATAGATGTCGATAAAAATGATCCCTAATGTATTTTTTACATTTAGTTCTGGATTGATATCCAATGATTTTTTGCAATACATGAACTATGTTTACACACTTATGTATAGCTGTCTTTTCACAGAGAAGATGAAAAATACCGTCTTAGGGAGTAAGATTTTTTCGATTTAAAAAAGACATTAAACAGCCTTTTCGCTTTCATATTTGCATGAATGAAACACACAATAAACCTCAACCAATCATAAGCTCCTGAAAGTGCGATGTTACACTTTTAAGTACATTAGCAAATGGGTCACACCGTATTTCAGATGGTAAATATAATAGCTGCCGTCGATAGATCTATGACAATTCTACCTTAAAAATCTAAACTCAGCAGCTTAGGACTAAAAACCCAGCACACTTTACCATACAATCGTTTGGTAGCTTAAATCTTTATTTGCCTTATATAATATGCATTTTACTTAAATTTGCTTAGTTACATTTTTATTATGTTCCCCCGATGCAGAGAACATTTTGAATACTCGTTTTATGATCTCCAGCAGCCAGAAATACTGAATGCATTGAATTACGCAGAGCCCTACAGTGGACAACACACAGGCCAGCTCATCATGCGAACGCGGCACGTAGCCTAGTGTGCCTTGATTAAGAATATCCTCGTATAGATTTCTGAGTACAATTTTCACCAATACATACGTCAATGCGGTACTCAGTACACAACGAATAAGAACAAATAAAAATGCAAAGATATATTCAAACCAATCTGCGTACCTACTGCATACAAGGTGAATCTTTGGATTTTCTGCGTTAGATGAGGCAATCATACGAAGCATGATAGAAATGTGAAAAAAAAAGTTGGTCATCTCATAGCAACCTGTGTAGAACCCCGCGTAAACGTCTGCAAATGGAAACCAAAGACAATAAACACCTATTAAGCTGCATATGCCATGAATCTTCCACTCCCAAGACCAATTGTCAATGAAGCAAACCACGACATCCCAGGTGAAGTAAGCCACAATTGCAACCCTGTAAATAGCAAAAATGGGAAAATCTACGACCTGGTACAGATTCTCTGATAATTTAAAGGAGAGAAGATATAGATTACTAATGAAAATTACTGAACTTCCGAACATGATGATTCCATTGAGGGCGCTGCATAATCGCTGCTTGAGTTCCCTCTGATCGGATTTCGAGAACCGCTTCCATCCAGGAATGATGCGCCGCAGTATGATCCCAGAAACAAATTGTGCACAAAACCAAAAAGTGACGAATGAAATAAACAAAGGCCACTCTCGTTGCATGGGAGCCAACCAAACATCCTTGGCCGTTGCAAACCCCATTATGATACGTTGAAAATTAAGGAGCTAAATGTTTAAATTAAAATTACTAAGGATATTTTGGTTCCTTTTTTTTTGATAATTATTTAAGTCTCTTATATGATGAAACAAAGGGCTACTAATTGAAGAGAAATATATCGCCTTGTATTTAAAGGATATCATCTTTCAATACCATATAACATTCGAATTTCTTATTTAGGGGTGAAAATATTTCATTTAGGGGAAGTTACAAAAAAAAGAACAGCAAGTTCAACATAAAAGGCGCATTCAGAAAGTCGTGAATGTTTCAAGGAGTCACACGAGCACTTAATGTATTTAAGAAGCGCAAAGGAATAGCTCAACTTTTTTGATTGCTGTCAAATGCATATATTTCGGGGTTCCCCTACACTATTATTATTTTTTTTATTAATATCACTATCATTAAAAAATATATATAAATAAATTTAACTGAGTTGAAATATCATCCTTTTTGAATTATGTTGGTTCATTCAGCCGATACCTTACCAAGGACGTAAAAAAAAAAGCATATATAATCGTGGGAGTTCATTATTTCCCCCTCCTCTAATATGAAGTGGTGTGGAAGGAACATAAGAATTTCCCTTTCGCTGCCTCTTCATCATGCCAATCTTTGTTTGACACTTTTTTTTGATGGAACAAGTCAAGGCGTATTTCTTGACAGCAAATATCAGGATTCAACTTTCCCGTTACTCCGCGGCGTTGACGACCCCCTGACCGTGCTTGTTGAAATTCGACCAGTACTTGTGCATATCCAACGCCACAGTGCAGCTATCCCGAACGATCGGCTCCGCGTGCTCGGCGTAGGTTTTCAGCACCGACAGAGAAACCGGATCCGCGATCGCGCCGAGGGCCTCGGCGGCCTCATGACGCACCATAGGAGCCTCGCTTTCATCCTTCAGTGCCTCAATCAGGGCGGACTGGCTTCCCGGATCTTCCAACTGCCCGAGCACAAAGGCCACCTCATGGCGGAACAGCGCGGAGACCGTGTCCTCGCGGAGCCCGCGGCAAAGCGCCTTGACAGCCTCCGGCGTGGCGATATTCCGCAGCGTGAACATCGCCATATACCGGGCGAACAGGCTGGTGGAACCTGAGGTGTCGAGGAGGAGGTTGGTGAGTTCCTCAACGGACCGCGGCACCGGCTTCCCATCCACGCTGTTCAGCCTCTCCGTGAAGGCGGGGGAGGGGTCCACCGAGACGAAGGGGCAGCCCACCGGCGGCAGCAAAGCCTCGTCACCCTCCTTCACCTTTGTGGCGATGCGGGCCAGGGCGAGCTCACAGGTCTCCCGAACGGCAGGATTCGGCTCGTTTTTCTCATCCGTGTAGTACTCAAGGACCTGGATTCCCTTTAGGCTGCCAATGGCCCCGAGAGACTCGGCAGCCTCGTGGCGCGTAACATCGTCGTACTTCGTGTCCGATACGATGCGCCCCAAAGGCTCCACCGCCTCCTCAAGACCGCTCTGTCCGACGTTGTACGCCAACTCATGCTGAAGCAGGACAGAATCCGTAGTGTCGATTGCCTCCAACATCACCGCCACACCAGCCGAAGTCTTCAAGAATGTCTCCTTCAGACGGTAGAGCTCGCGTATCCGGCTGTCCAACGGCTCCTTAGGATCGAGTAGCTTGGAAAAATCCTTCCGTAGTTCTTCAAGAGTGGGGCTCATTTGATCGTTTATGAATAATGAGATATAGTAAATTATTTTTATCGCAATAGAAAAAAATTAGATTGTTCTTGGTTTGTACAAGCACACTTGTAAAAAATTCCCTAATTAACACAAAGGGGGATGGGAGAAGAGTAGATATTCTTACAGATATGTCATAATGCTTTGCATGTGTACATAGATATGGATCTTCCATAATTGCGATAGGCATATTATTATTATTGCTACAGGAATTTTAAAAGCTTTCAACGATTTGTACACACAATACTCAAAAATACACCTGTTTGCTGCACTAGCTTCATTTTAGAAGCTCGATACTCTCACAATCCCACTATTTACTTAGCCATAGAATAATCCTAGAAGGGCTGGTATGGACAGTCTACAGCACTTCTCCCAGGGCTTACCTTTTTGGCCTTTACTTGTCACAACTTGCTATATGTTTTTCATGAGGGAAGGAAGCAAAATTGAAGGGCATTCAATGAATGATGCAACTTCTCGAAGTAACCGTAAAGGTTGACAAAATTGACTCCAACTGTCTATTAAAGGTCTTAGACAGTGCTAAAGTGGGCTCCTGAGAAATCGAAGCTGGTGTTGGGGCGGATCGAGGCCAGCTAAACTCCTGACTACCCGATGGTAATCCAAGGTCAATTTTGAACGGTAATTTCAGCGCTTCGGAGTGATCTGGCTTTCCAACCCCATCAAAAGCTGACTCAGGAGTACGCGATGCAACATCGGGCACCTCCTTCTCCTGCTGAGAAACGACGTTTGTGGCGTAACTATCCTCAAGGAGCTTCAGCTGAGCACGCCAACACTGAGCTGGGGTACGGAACGGGTTACAAAGTGCAGCAGAGGCACACTCGTAGATTGCGCGGCAGAGCGGAACGACAGCATCCGGCGGAGCTTCGCTGCCCACCGTAACAAGCAGTGTCGTGATTCCCGTAGCAGAGCAAAAGCCGTAGGAAAGAAAACGATAGCTGTGGATAAGCTTACCCAGAAAGCGGATGTCGGTCGTAGAAGTCACGAGGCGTTGCGTCGAAGCGGCAGCAGAGAAAGAGGTCTTGACGTTTGTGCTGACATGCGTCGAGCTGGCGCCCGCCGAGGACAAGACCAAGTCGGATTCCTCCTTGGGAACCGCAGAAGAAAGACCAGAGGGTTTGGAATTGTCAGGATTCGTGGAGCCTTGACCGGGTTCCGATCCACCCTGGGACGCTGTCGCCGTGGAAGCGGCACCCCGTATGTGCTGTTTTTTGGCCGCAACCAGTTCTTCGCTACGATCAAGAGACGAAAAAAGCAAGAAATGGAGGCCTATTATGTCTTCGGGACCAACATACAAGTGCGCCTGAAGAGGAAACTCGGGGGAGTTAAGAACGGAAGGCGAAGAAAGAAATGTTCGAATAATAAGAGGTGTACCAGCTGAGTCAACGATAGCAACCGCTGCAACCGCCCAAGTCTCCAACGACATCCCGTAATGTGAACTTGGGTGTGCGATGCACGGCTGCAGGGCCTTCCACTACGTGAAACCTATATGTCCCTATGATAAGACTAAGAGAGCAAGGGGAGAGTGCAAATTAGATAACAGAGCAAACACCTGCACGGGCAACAGGATAGGGCACACCCGGAATAAGAGCAAAAGAAATGAATTGCCACGCTTGCACCAACCGAGCAGCAAGCACCATCGCCGCTCATCAGGGAGCCATGCACACGGTCAAGAAACAAACAACACGCGCGAAAAAGAACCACGATACCTAGCACAACGCAGCCCATTGCTCTCGGCTGGAACCCTACATCAGTCCTTTTGGCTTCGTTGAAATGTATTTGAAGAAAGGTCAGAGTGATTTGTCTATCAGGACGGCAGAAGCCTGTCAGGAAGAACGCAGCATCGACCCTCGCATCACACGTAGAGCTCCAGCCGTAGCACAAACACACCCAACAACCATCAAGCCTCCCACGCCCCCTCGCGAAAACGACGAGATGCAGAGCCGAGACTCCGAACCTCTCCGCGTGGGACGCGGCCTCTAATCTCGCAACCCTTTGACACACATCTCCAGCATCAGATCTCCTTGCTAGAGCGGTAACACGAGTTGCTATCGCATCCACAAAACAGTGTGCGCCAGCTGCTACTCACACTGCAAACCCACACCGAGAGCCCCCCCTAGCCCCGCTCCGCCAACAACAACCCACACCCCGAAAGAGGAAGGTCACCAGTAACAACACCCCGCAACGCGCTCGTCCGCATCAGAGAAACGACAGTTCAAAATGGTAATGTGTCAATCAACGCGATGATTCAGAATTAGCGAAAACGTGTAAAGTTCTCATCATGCTGCAGAACGAGTTCACGGACCTCGGGAAACGACTCCACCTCCTTGGCATCGCAGATCGCACCATGGGGCGTCCCCGCCCCCCCTCCCCTCCTGACTCCCCTTCCTCTCCCAACCCATTCCGCCAAAGGGAACCACAACAGCATCAGTCTCTTTCGCATATACACAATCGTTTCAAGTCATCACGAGTAAGCTCATTAAAGGTACACTCGTAGAAGGTGTGCTCTCGTCATATGCTGTACTATTTCCCCTGGCCCACACAACACCACACAGCGGACGGGCGCAACGATATCTAGCTCCATTGTCCATCAACGTAAAGCTCATCGATGACTGGTTAAAGTACAAAAGCTTGCTGAGCGAAATGGAGCGTCCCCCCTCACGTGCCCGCACGACGGCGGCACCGCCACACGCTAATCTCAAACAACAAATCCATCAGAACGTAGGTGGGTTGGGGCGGCAGGCCTCAGAGATATCTCCTTCGAGATGAGCACGGTGGCCTGTCAGGGCGCCCCGCGAGAGGCGCTCAGTAGGTACACTCAAGAATACTCGTGCGGGATCATCACACCCTGCGCGGCATCCCAACCCGCACGCAGTGGTGCGCGTAACGAAAACAACAACAAGGCGCCGGCCGCCTGTGCCGGGGAGCGCGCCTCCGCCCCGCCCTCACAACAGTATCAGAAGATAAACCCCCCCGCAGAGTGGAATTGTCAAAGTATGTGCATCATCACAAAACTCTGTGGCAGCGAAAATATGGTTCATTTCATCACGTACTGTTCCGGCGGCCGTACCCGGGCATGGATCCACTGTTCAAGACAATATAATCAAGTGTGTTGTCTTTTCTTATTTATCGTAGTAAACTTCCATTATTTCCTATTTTCGGTTTAGCTTTTTTTCCGGAAAAGAAATTATTTTTTTTGTGTAGTGAAGCGTACTTCAATCTTCATCACTCAAGGTATATGGAGAAGAACAAAAATATATAGGTCAATAAAAGGTAATTTGAAGAATCTTCATGAAATATTTTTTCCGTTTATTCACTTTTGTTGTAGACTTCAATGAGTCGTAGATACAAACGCTAAGCTTTTTCGCTCGCTTTGACTTCTTATAACTCCGATAGCATTAAGGGATCACTGTTTGCATTAAATAGCCATCGTAGCATAACAAATTAAGAAAAAAAGATGTTAAAGGTGCAAGTCGAGCTACGTTAACCTTTGCTCTTTAATCTTCCTTCTTACGTTATGCGGCTGGCGCTATGACACCTTTGCGATCGAGTATGCACCACTTACACCCCAGGAGGCCTTAAGCCGCGTGTGAGGGTTGGAAACCCCTTAGGCTGTACCTTCACATTGTTGATTCCCATAACATCCCCCATCTTCTGATATTCAAAGCGCCTACTCTTGCTTCCGTACGTGCTTCGTAGCTCTTCGATCAATTTCTTCGCGGCCGCTTCGCGATGCCAGCGGTTCGTCGCCATATACGTGTGCGCGATGTCGTCCAAGTCGCCGGTGGGAACCTGATCCACGTATGGGCTTTCGTAGAAGCCCTCCCATCGGAGCTGGGAGTCCGCTTCGGCGTCAGAGTTGAACACGGTGGCGTGCGAAAGAGGTCGCTCGACGCTCAGCGTATCGACACGGTCATCGCTGGATGCCAAGTACTCTTCAAGGTGCGGGTTCGCTCGGCGATACAGATCCTTCGAGGCATTCTCAGACGTCCGCGTAGAACTGCTGCCCAAATCCACTGCCTGGTCGGGGTGGGAAACGCCACCCGCGAGCTCGCCAAGCTGAAGCTCTTCGGCGTGCGCACACTCCCGGGCCGCCTCCGTGGCGGCGCGCTGGGCGGCGCTTTCTTTTAACAACTCCGCCCGCTTCCTCTGCTTCGCGTCGCGCTGGATCTCCTCGACGTACTTGACAAAGGCACCCCCGTCAAAGTTGTACGGCAACGCGATGGTGCGGCTCTCCCAGTTAATATCCAGCTCCGGGCTCAGCACAAAGGTGAAATCGCCCCAATCCCACTGCGCGAGGGTGGCGCCGATGGAGAAGAGCTCCTTCGCCCACTCCAGCCGCTGCGCGTAGGTGCAGTCGTTGCTCTGAAAGGCATCCACCCCGCCGGGTTCGGCCATATTACGAAACTCCTTCAGATGCCACATCGTCGTCTCGAGAAGCCGCTTGGAGACCTCATAGAGCTTCCGCTGCAGCGGCAGCTTCGCGTGGACGCTCTCCAGCCACGCCCGGAGCTCCCCCACCTCCCGCATGGCGGCACTGACGATGAGGACGCCGTTCGCCCGCGTCGCGAAGCGATCCGCCTGCAGCTCCAACGTCAACCCCACCACCCCGTATTGGTGAAGCAGCTCCTTGTTGCGTTCGAGCAGCCGGAGGGCGTGCCGTGCGGTCTTATGGGAGCAGGAGATCAACACGTCATCCAACTCCAGCGTGTTGCACAGCGACGCGATCAGGCTCTCCGTCTCCGTCGCGAAGGCGAGGGCCTGCTCGCGGCATTTCCCCACCCGTATCGCGTTGTGGGTGAGGAAACTCACGAATTGGGTCGGCGTAAAATCCCACGGAATCGTCAGGCATCCGGTGACGTCACTGCCGATGTCAAACCGATCGGAAACGATCAACGGCATCGACTCCCACACGTCGTACTGCATCTCGCCAAGGTGAGTGCGGAGGGTGTGCAGCGCGGCGGAGCACTGCAACGGCGAGAGCGCTTTCGAAAAGAGAACCTGATCGCCATCCATCAGCTCCTCGATCGTGGGGATGGGTGTTAACGACCACCGCATCGACATCATCTCCGCGGTCTCATCAAGCAGCGAGCTTGGCTTCTTCGCGTCGTGGCGCCCACCACGGGTGCCCGGTAACGGCCGCCGGCGGAGGGGCTTCGCCTCCATCCGCGCGGCGGTCGCATCCTCCGCGGATGAAATCGATTCCGTGATGGAATCAATACACCCTGCGCGACGGAGGAGGTCGCGAAGGAATTTGTTGACGGAGCGCTCAACCAAACCACGGTTCGCCTCACTCGCGACGAAGCCCTCGGGAAGCTCAAAGGTGGAATTCACCACCGCCGCGCCGGGATGCTCGACTTTCGAGGAATCCCACTGGCGGCGATCCGTGAGCGAACTCCTCCCATCCCGCCCACCGCTGGCGCTACTGCCTTGCGAACTTCCCCCTTCCCCCTCACGCGGAACGGCATCGATGCCCATCGTATCCACCCCTTCTAATCGGCTGTAAAAGGAGAATGCGATGGACGTCGCGGGTGGGGCGCGCAAGGTGCCCGCCTTGAACTCCCGCGCCCAGCTGAGCAATTCGTTAAGCTGCGCAACCGCGTTCTCATTAACGATTTGTTGCTCTCGGTTGTGGTGAAAAAAGTCGGGGTGAACCTTGAGGAAAAACGCGTTAAGCGCCTTCTTGTACATCGCAGTGGGTCTCCTCTCACCAAGGAACAAGCTAAAATGATAACAACAATAATAATAATTAATTCGTAAAGTGGTAAGAAAGAAAAGTGGGAAAAAAAAAACATATGCCCTATCCAACGAGTAAAGAAGCGCTCCATCATGCAGAGACCACATGCATGCATGTGGCGTAAAGCTCACAAATCGAAACTCCTTTCTCACTAGTCTAGGCTAATATATTTCATGCAGAATACTGTTTATTTATAGTAGTAAGAATTGAAAAATACAATAAAGCGAAAACAATGAGGGGCACTCCCCTTTTCCTAAGAATGGAGAGGAGACCCCAAAAGATATAACTGGGAAACGAAAGTCTACCTAACTGCGTAGCGTCTAAAATATATATATACGCCGGCAGAAGAAGAAAAAAAATTCTACCTCAGCAATCATCGGGTACACGACCTCCCTCGCCCTGTTCATTCCCTATATTTTTTCTTCTTTTTTTTTTGGGGGGGGGGGGCAGGGGGGGAGGAGGGGAGGAGGGGAGGAGGGATGGAAGAGAGGGAAAAGAATTTATTAAGGCACGGTTGGCATCGTGGCTAACGGCTTCGGAAAGATCGCATTGGCGTCCGCGCCGTTGATCATAGGGCCGCCAGAGACGTTTGCCGCGAGCATCGACTTGTACAACGCCTCCGTGGCGCGTCGGACGCTACCGTTGAGGGTCTTCACCGCGGCCGCGGCGTCGCGACGGCTCTCCGAGTCGATTTCCAGCGTCAACGAGAGTTGAAACCGATTCAAGAGCTGATCCCGCACCTCCTTGTTTTCGGCCCCGCTTACATTGCTGCTCGTTTCGACGTCGCCCCCGGCGGGGAGGCCTTTCTTCGTCTTACCAGACCCCATCAACTGCTGCATGTTGGTGTTTAACTGCCGCATCAACACCTCTTCAGAGACCCCGACCTCATCTGGGCTGTACGGGCGCTCGATTCGTATCACCAACCGCTTCCCAAGCGCGGCCTCCGATTTTTTCCGTTTGGAATCGCCGACGTTCGACGCGGCGGCGTCCTCCTCCGCGAGCATCGGAGTGAACCCACACAACACCGGATGAACGAGCATTAACGTTCGTTTCGTGCTCCCTAACGAGCGCACCCGCTCAAAGTAGAGCACGAAAAAAATCTCCCACTCAATCGTTAACAACACGTGCTGGTTGTGGTATTTCCCTCGCAACACGCGCACGCGCTGGCGATATTGAGGATCGAGCGGAATCACCCCTTGCGCGATCCCGCCATAGGCAACGCGCATCAACCGACGACGCTTCCCTTCCAGAAGCGCATCCCATCCATTCCGCGCGGAGGATCCGCCGCCGCCGTCAGGGGGGATCCCCGCTTTGGAATTCGTGGAGGATTTGGTCGACCCCCCCCCGGTGGTGGATCCCGCGCGGGAGCTCGGCGGGAAATCCGACGCCGTCGGGGAGGGTAAAACCGGCGGTGCCGCCAAAGGCGTATCGTGATGAAGCGAGGAAGACGCGGGGAAAAAAGGGTGCGGCTGTTGGGTTTGGTCGCGCGGCTGCTCCTGCGGCTTCCGGATCCCAATCCCCGCCTCGGAGGGGGGTAACCCATCCGAAGACCTCCCTGCTTCCGCTTTCCCTTCATGCACGTCCTTCGTCGCCGCCGCGGTGGGGTTGATTTCCCCGGCGAGGAGGCGCCTATCCGGGCGCGAATGCGCTGAAAACCCCCGATCCATCCTCATCTCTTCCTGTTCTTTGAGATACGGTGAGACGATGGTGGTATCACTGCTCGTTGGAGTCGACTTCACCATGGTGGAGTGTCGATCCACGAGCTCCGGCTTTGCCGGCTCGACCGAGGGCAAGGAGGTGATACTTTGAGAGGAAGGAGCCGTGGCGGAATCCTTCCGTCGGGGGCCTTGGGGCGAGCGCAGGTGATGGAGCTCCCCGGTGAGCTCCGCGGCGATCTCGTCGATCGATTTCATCCCGAACTCCTTCAACACCACCGAAAGGGTGCCGTGGTGGTAGTGAATCAACGGCACCAATCCATGATAACTTTGCAGCAGCCGTCGCTTCGTCTCCTGAAAGGACGGGGCGTCGAAGGATCGCTGCAGCAGCACCACGGTATCACAAAACGGGTTTTCCTCGAGAAACTGCCGCAATCTCGGGAAAAAGGCCTGATCGGACTCCGCGATCTTCCGCGCGACGGCGTCGGTGGCCAAGGAGGCCGAGGTGGTGGCGAACGTCTCGCCGCCGTCGACGCGCGCGAGGCTGCCGCGCAGGACGCTCGCCTGCAACCGCGCGGCGATCACCGAGCGGCGTTCGTTCGTCCGGACCTGAAGGCGTAACATCC